CTCTCCGGCGCTCATGGTCTCCTTGTTGCGTTGCTATCGACAGCAAGATTCTCTGCCAAAACATCCTGGGAATTCGATGGTCTAATGCTGTCGATAAACTGGGCTACTGGCGCCGAGTTGTCAATCTTGACTCAAAAGCCCTCAAGCCGCAAGAAGGTGGACAACTTAGATTCCGTGGCACTATTCAAACTGATGGCGTTGGTGTCACGGTCCTCAAGAAGAGGTTCGACAGGCAAACAAGATACACGGTAAGGTTCACAGTGGAGTATGAAGCTACCTCCTATATCACCAATCTAACTCGTCGAAATCATCAAGAGATTTCTGGTCGATGCGTCGCTGTGAACCCAGGAAGAAGAGATATGTTGTATTTTGTACACGAAAACTCTACACCAGAGCAACCAGTGAAATTTCAGTACACTAAACAACAGCAAATCAAGATGTGGAAAACCAAAAAATACCGTCGAATCTTGCAAGATCTCAAAGCCCAGGATCCTGATGTCGTTCAAGCTGAGCAAGCCCTTTCTCAACAGCCAAGCAGCACCGTATCCGTAGAAGACTTTGGCCGCTTCCTTCAAGCCAGATCTGAGCAGTCTGCCGTTCTCAGTCGATTCTATGGACATACCATCACAAACTATGATAATGGATACCCCCTCTTTCGCAAGGTCCGTCTTTCAGCGTACTTCAACAAACAACGTGCCGATCAAAGGCTTATTCAAGACTTACGCGCCAAGTTTGGAGAAGACGCTGTGTTTGTGATGGGAAACTGGTCCGCTCCCCATGCTAGGTATCATGAGCCCATCCGTGGCCTTGGTTTCCGAAGACTCCTCAAGAAGCATGGGTTTCAAGTCTTTCTTATAGACGAGTACAAGGCCAGTAGGTGCTGTCCAACATGCCACAACGAGAGCCTCCACACGTTCCGTCGTGTTCCAAATCCACGACCGTATCAACGTGAGCGATATCCTACTGCTATCTGCCATGGCCTTTTAAGGTAATAATATATTAACCACTTGGATGATTTTATGCTGATTGAATATTGCTTGTAGATGCACCAATCTATACTGTAGACCCGCCATGGCAGCACTAGATAGATATCGCTTATGGAACAGGGATGTTGCTGCTTGTCTCAACTACATGCACATCCTTCGTGAGCTTCGACGTAATGGCATGGTTCCTCATAGGTTTCGCCGGGTTGCTGTTGCTCCTACAAGACGTCGAAGAAGAGTGGACGATCAGGAGCAACCAAGAACTAGAATACGCTTAGACGATGATTCTCCGTCCTAGTTATCGCTGGGACACATCTAGATGCCTTCGGGGTAAGTTGTATGTAATAATTTTCTTATATAACTAACTGTACAATTCTTTATATTCTCTCCTTGGTACTTAGTATTTGTATGTATTTTATTTTTAACCTTTGTGTAAATACTTTTTTTAATATGCGCCAATTATTTTTTTCATCACGTCATAATTTTATCCTCTTTCTGAAATTTATTTTTAATAAAACAGTAAACGATCTTTCCAATGTTTGAATGTGAACCTTCATTGAAGAGGAATTTTTGTATGTTTTTATCTTGATACAGCAATTAATTATTCTTAATTTCCTGAAATTATTTAATATACACTTCTTCCGGAATGTAAATTCGCCTGATGGTAAAACAGAATTCGTATTGCAAGAAATGTAAATTCGTCTTGGCTGACAAATCAGATGTCTTGCTACCAAGAATATTTTGTAGGACAAGTCTTGACATCTTCAGATATACAAGAACACACCAAATACTTGTCTTTGTTTTGTTTCTTTTTCACACTTGCACCAGAAATCATAGATTATGAACATTCAGTTCTTGTTTGAAAATGGGAAAGGTTCTGTCGTCGACAAGTATGACAGACCTGAATCCAATGGATTATATTGTTGATGAAGAATAGCTTCGTCCTGAAACATTGAGTTCCCATACACAATATTTAGCTCAACTGAATCTGGGGAGCAAGAAAAGGAGACAAAACCTAGTAGTGATGTTAAAATGAGGGAAACATCAGTGAAGCGAAACTATACACGCTATTCTGATCAGGACAAAGTGGGGTTCTTCAAGTTGTTGTTTAAGAAGTGTCTGAATGCAGTGGCGGCTGTAACGCAGCTTGGAATTCACGTTCGCACAGCGCAAAAATGGACTAAACAGTATGAGAAGGATCCTGATAGTGTCTTTGAGAAGCGGAGAAAGTCTGGTCGTCCACATATTTTCCAAGAGGAACACAAAGGTACTATTCTCGAGTGCATTGATGAGAACTCTTCTGTCGTTCTAGGCGAAGCTATGAAAAAGTTAAAGCAAATATTTACAGAATTAAAAGTGTCTAAAACTACTTTGTTTGATTTTGTAAAACAACATTGCAATCTGTCTCTCAAAAAAGCTCGGCTTTAACCCATAGGCCGAAATAGCGAAGAAAGGTTTCAAGAGCGGTTGGAGTGGATTTGTAAATGGAAAAAAACAGACATGGATTTTACGAGAAACTGTGTTTTTCTTGACAAATCTGCTTTCCATATTAATTTGAAACGTAGTATGGTATGGTCGAAGAACGGTATACCGTCAGTGATTACCGTTTCCAAAATACGAGACACAATAACAATCATTTTAGGTGCAATTTCTGCTGATGACCTAGTTAAATGCAACCTTAGGCTTTCTCAGTATCCATCCAGTAAAAAGAGAAAGCAGGGAGATGATATTGAGCGTGTGAGCAAAGGAATGGTTACGGGACACTATGTTAGCTTTCTGAAAGCCACAATAGACGATATGGATCAGTATCCATACATGAAAAGTCACTACCACGTGATAGATAATACTCCTATCCATATATTAGAGAGCATAGCCAAATACGAAGAATCTCGTGACTACCGCTGCGTTTACTTGCCTTCATACTCTCCTGAACTCAATCCAATTGAACAGGGTAATTAAAGTACAACTGATTGGGTGGCAAACTTTCAAGGAAATAGGCGTTTTTATATTATTTTAATCTTTCCTTTTTTAAAGTTTTGCATTAAAGGGAATTATTCATTAGGACCGATATCTTTAATGTATTTTCATTACTTTCTCCTTAACTTTTTATTGTGTCATTATCCAAATCCGCTTGTACCAGGAAGAAATGCTCCGTGTTTTTAGTTGTTCCACTTACACCATTCATGCTGGCATGATCGACATGTTGCAAGCTGAGCAAACAACGTGGATAAAATTGGCCGTGTTAAAGAGTGAGTAGTCTCAAGCTCGGAAAATTATAGCAAAAACCATGATTTGTCAAAGCCATTTAAGCGTGCGAAAAGTAGGTCCTGGAATCGCATGATGGGAACTTGTGTCTTTCTCGAGAGTGTCACTGCTAGACGTTTTCTAGATTCCCTCACACAACACTGGCATGATTTATAGTCCTGTCATTCACTATTTCTGCTTTTTTGCCCAGTCATTGATAGCAAGGTTTGACGATTGATAGTACGTCAATACCATTTATCATGCAAAGGTACTGCGGACAACTCAAAATACTATGAGCATGGGAAAAAGTCTCCATGGAATGTTGGTTTCCCTTGCGAAGGAGGAAGGTTCACTTTCATTTTTCAAAGCCCAATTAATGGATTTCTTATATCCAAAAAGCATAACTTTATAACTAAATGACAAATTGGTTTTTAGTGTATTTGTTATTATTAATATGCCATTCGACCATGAAGCCCTGCTTTTTGCATACAAGGCATCCGTTCATTGAGATTTGAAAAACCGCCGAACATTGATTTTTAAGCAACGGCCAAAAGAATACTCTTGCCCTAAAACGTCAACTGGCTGACGTTTTTCTTATTCCTAAAATGGATGCATAACCCTACAAATTACTTTGAAGGAAACAGATACACGTAAGCAAACTAGTCTTTATCTTCTATAAAAGATAACACATTCATCCAGTCTTTACTGCTTGTATACTCTCTGTCTCTTTCTTTCTCTTCATTATTTCAAATGTCTAAAAACGATACATTCACTGGTTGGGCTTCCGTTGGCAAGGACAAGCCTCTTGAGCAAATGCAGCTGCCTCTCAAGGCTTGGAATGACAACAGTGTTGAAATGGATATCACTCACTGTGGTATCTGTGGTAGTGATGTACACACTATAGGTATATAGAGAAAAGACAGTGCCTATCTTATATCAACGTCTAATACCCATTGTCAACATATAGACTCCGGCTGGGGCCCTACTGATTATCCATGCGTTGTTGGTCATGAAATTACAGGCGTTGTTACAAGAGTAGGAAAGAATGTGACAAGGGTCAAGGTTGGTGATCGTGCTGGTTTAGGTCCTGCCTGTGGCTCATGTAATCAATGCCATACCTGCAGTAACGGAGAGGAAAACGTGTGCATGAATGGAATTACTCTGACCTACAACAGTCATTGGTCAACCGGTGAAAAAACCTACGGTGGCTATGCTGACAAATGGCGTGGTGACGAAACATTTATTTGCAAGATCCCAGATAATGTTAGCAATGAAAACGCTTCTACATTCATGTGTGGAGGTGTAACAACTTATGCTCCTCTTAGGCGATGGAAGGTCGGCCCTGGCTCGACTTTGGGTGTCTTGGGCATTGGTGGACTTGGTCACTTTGCAGTCATGTTTGGTAAAGCATTAGGTGCCACTGTGATTGCCTTTTCTTCCAGCAACAGAAAGCGTGATGCTGCGCTTGAGCTTGGCTGTGATGATTATATTGTAACAAGCGATACTGAAGCAATGACCAAATATACAAGCAAGTTGACACATATCATTTGTACTGGTGTGGGAGAAGACTTCAAGTGGGAGCCATACTTTAATCTCTTGGTTCCTAATGGCATTTTCATCAATGTGAATGCTCCTGAATTCTCATATCCACCAATTCCACTCTTCAATCAAATCTTTAAGCAAATCGTTATCGTTGCCTCTGCTGGCGGCAGTGTCAAGGACACAGAGGATATGCTTCAGCTTATCTCTGAGAAAAACCTCAAGGCATGGTATAAGAAATACCCAATGTCAGAAGTTAACAAGGCTATCAAAGATTTCAGGGCTGGGTTACCCAGATTTAGATTTGTCTTGGAAAACTAAATAGTTGAAATAAACAATTCTTTAATCAGCTTCTTTACCTTCTGCAATGGAAATATTACAGTTAATGCCTGTATAATGGGAGAGGGACACTCTATCTACTTCTAAAGGGAGTATCGATCAAGTCTTTTTTCTACTGAGTTATTGAAGAACAAGCTTTTACCAATCCCTTTCTCAAATGCCATTTGTTTTAATGGACAACGTACTGAGCTTGAAAATGCGCAAGTTTATTCCAAATAAATCTGGATGCAGACGGACATGTTTTTGTGTTCTACAAACATGGGCATTGCTGGAAGAAGTTTATAAAATGCTTTATCAATCACAGAAAGCGCAAGTCAAGAAGTACTATTTGATAAGCTATTGTATATTTATCTTTTTTAAAGGCAGCGAGAAGCATCTCTTGCTATTGTCGCTCAACCCATTTTGGTAAGACATGGATGAGAATAAATCCATGGCCCAGCGTCATACAGTCATACAATGTGGATGTAACATTAGTAAAACAGAGCAACATAAAGAAAGAAAATAAGCTCCTCTTTCCTCCCCTTTTCTCTTTTCTTTTCACTCTAAATATCAAAGATAGGTAGGCCTATGCTCCTTTTTGTCTTTTAAAGAATGGGAAACTGCTTCACAAAACAACAGCTTACTGAGCATGAAAACAATCACAGAGACGGGGAAGGAGAATATTTTAGCTCGACAATGATAGATACAAATATTACCAAAATGATCAACTCAGAAGATATAACATTGCCAACGAAAAGAGAGTTTCATCAGGTAGAATCATCTACTTATTGGTTACCCAAGGATGATGATGAACAGATGAGACTTACAGGGGTAGAGAAATCAGTTAAACACCTTATTGTCTTTCTAACTAGAACTATAGCAACACTTTGCATTTAAAGACATGTTTGGAGGGTAATACAGCATGAAAAAGAAAAACTTTTGTTACTTATTCTTTTATAGAAATGTACTACGAAGCGTAACTGAAATTCTTGATTTAAAGCAAGAGTTATCTGTGCTTGACGTAGGATGTGGTCCAGGTGTATGGAGTATGGTAAGAATATAAAGACTTGATCCCAAGAAATGAGTGCCCATAGTAGCACTAACAAATTATCAAAGGATATGATTACTGACTATCCGAATTGCCGTTATGAAGGCTGTGACATGGTGGACGTTGTGAGTCAGAAACCTATGCCTGAACAATTTACTTTCAGTATTGGAAATGTACTAGAGGGGCTACCATATCCAGATAACGTTTTTGATCTTGTTCACTTAAGGCTTTTTACCTTGGCATTGCAATATGACGAATGGCCAGGAGTGATTAAAGAGTTACTGCGTGTGACTAAGCCAGGAGGATTAATACAGATAATGGAGGCAGATATAGAGGTAAGTGTCGCCACAGGACGATTTGTTATCTTTCCTTTGCCTTTTTGTAAACTTTTATGAAATATCAAGACACCAAAAGAAAACAAGGATGCTTTCTGTAAGGCAATGACGGCATGTAAGTTCTTATTAAAGAGATGCTATTTCAGGTCATTAATGCCATTTTATAGTAACTACTGTAGCCAAACAAAGACATCAGAATCCTCGAATTGGAAAAGAATTAGAAAGATTGCTCAGAGAAGCCGGTAATACCAAGATTGTTGAAACAAAGTCTGCTTATGTCGATACAAGTAAAGTTTGGATTATGATGATCAATATACTGTGTATATAATATCGTTATTGACTATTGGTCTTACTAGCCACTAATACCGACACAGCTAAAAGAATTGCTTGGGCTTGGCTGGAGTGTTTGAAAGGAGCAATGCCATTGCTTGCATCCGTCTTGGAACTTAAGAATCATGAAGAGCAACAAAAGTTTTTGAAAGAAGTCAAGCATTGTATGACCACTACATGTGGTGGTTTCCTTATGGATGCAGTAATTGCTCAAAAACTGTAAGATTGTAGAATATTTGACAGCTAAAATAAATAAACGGCTTTTGTTACTGTATTCGACTTCTCGGTAATTGGTTCCTTGCTACTTCGTATCTTGATTTATAGTATGATTGGAGAAGGGATTTCATCAATCATATTATACAGTGTTTCTAAAAATTAATGTCACGCCAAGATGTCGTATTCCTATATATTTTGTATTGTAAAAATTGAATTTTTGCGACACTACTTTCTGGAAATACTGTACTTGTTGTGACATGTTCATTCGTTACATCTATTCATCACATAAATCTTCTGCTCTGTTTAAGGAACTTCTATTTATTCGGAAAAAGGTGATTCAACTGAAAAAATGTATTTTGAAGTATTGCTTGAATTATACAAGAAGACTAGAAAGGGACGAGAGAAAGAGAAGTAGGATATTATTAAGTAAAGAAATTACAGATCAAGATCAAATTTAACAATAAATAATGCCGCAAGTGTCAAAAAGTAGGAACATGGGGAAGTTTGTAAGAGACTCAATAAAAAATTTTATGGGCCATTTCAAGCATATTATTTGACGCTTTGCATAAGACATATGCGAAGATACAAAAAGAAACACGTAACTCTTTATTTAATACCTTTATCCTTGTTAATACACTTATCCCAAAAGCTCTCAGAATGTCTGATCCAGCCCAAACAATTATCAACTGTAACTGTTTTACAAGCTTCTGCGATTGCCAAATTTGAAATGTATGAACACTCATTACTTTAGTGGTATATGGAAAGAATATCATGGTGAATTTAGGATTTTACTAGGAAACTATTCATTAGAACAACTATTAATTGATGTAATACCTCTCAAGATAAAGATGATACAGATTCTTATATCGAGTATATCTATATAGTCAACATGTAAGCAACTCATTCATTGCTTCTAACAATTGTTATTTTACCACGGTTTACTGAAACTAGCATCATCTTCAATAAAAATGGTATTACATATGTGTTCATAGTAATTAATGTAGCTGCTAATATCAAACATATCTATTTAAATATAGCCTATTAAATTTTATTATGTAAACATATCACAGCTCCTATGTACAGTTGTTGTAAAAAGTTCTTGTTTTATTCAAACAATTTAACCTTTAAAAAAACGATAAAGTTTAGAAAAAAATAAAGAAAACGCTAGCTTTTACTTAACAACATAAAGATAGAGTAACTATAAGAAATATCTTAAGATCGTAATTTTGTATATGGAAATAATTATTGTTGCATAGGTGTCATATTAATAGATTCATAAATATTGATGATGAAGGAGTGTTGTTGGTTGAGATGACATAAATATAGTAAAGAAAACGAATAAACTACAACTAGCTGAATATTAAACAAGTGAATTGAAATTGTTGCATAACGATGAAAAATGAAAAAATGAAAAAAAAAAAAAAAAAGAATTAGAGTAAATACGCTTTTTTGCTTATTCCATAATTGTTGGCTGAATGGCACTTTTGCCTGATAATGGCATCATGTAACTTTGTACAAAGTGCGCCGTTAATAGCTTGCTGTGGTCGTGCATAATTGCTGCTATTAAGAACTTTGATAATACACTCTAGCAAGACTTTAGTCTTCTCGTTGGTAGACGAATCGTTAGAAAACCGACGAGCGAAAGCTAAGGGATCGGCAACTATGGTACCGGACGAAGGAGGAACAAGCGACAAGAATAACTGTGCTACCTTATCTTGAGTCTCTGCTGAGATTGGTGCATTGACAGCAACCAGACGAACAATAAAGCAGGCGAGACCCACAGCACCTTCCTCAGCACGTTTTACATACAAAGGATGCGCAGGAGAAAACCCTTTGAGTGCAAATCTTGCACTGTAACCACCCCACCGCTGACACGCATAAAATCGGCTGTAGTTTCTCAAGATACGCTCCTTGAAAGTGGCTACAGGAGGAGCAGTCGGAACGTAAATGGCCGATTTTGAAGATGAGTTTGCAGCAATTGGTGGGTATTTTACGCTGGGCCTTAGAAACGCAGTGATATCATCGCTGTTTTTTGTAGTCATCAGACTCGCAGTAACAAGAAGTTCAAGCCGACCAAGGTAGATGATCAGCTCATCCCAGAATACTTTTTTCCCCCACTTTTTCTGACCACCTTTACAGTGGCTTCCTCTGGGTACTTTATCTTCATATCCTGGAGCGCGGCATCATCAAGGTTAGTACTGTTTCTAATGAAGCCATCGACAGCAACCACAAAGAACCACAAATCATCGATCTCAATAACAGCCTCAAGGAAACGACGGCAGCTTTTCTTCATCAAAGCATCGATTAGTTGGAGGCTCGATGGTTCTTGGATTAAGCAGATTTGGTTTAGGGGTTCTTCTTTAAGAGTCTTATACTCCTGTAGATCTTAAATAATACCTGATTGCGAAAAGACACTAGGCAAGGGTGAATAATTAGCAGTACGTTGGAACTTGCAAAGGTCAAGATATGGTTGCTTCAAAAGAGTCTTGGCCATCTTCCACTGTGCTGCTATTTCTGGAATATCTGGAAAATCGCTTCTTGCACGTTTTCGCTCGCCAGTTACTATAAAGTTATCTTGATCATCGTCTTCACTGTCACTTTCGTCGTTTTCACCCGTGATGAGAAGGATATTATTGGCAGGGGCAAAATATAGAGCAACTTTCCAATCCTCTAGCTTACGTGGATTCACATATAATGCTAACCCGGTGTTAACAGCTACTAAGCATTTTGTGGCTCGCTTGATGGACCGCATGGAGTAATCACCGTCCAAGTGGAGTGTTTTTAAACATTGAAACGTATTTACAAGATACTTGAAGCGATTGATTTTAATATTAGACTCGCTGTCCACGATAGTTACATCTCTGGCGGTCATGATCATTGTTTTGGTTAATAGAGTATCTTCATTATTGATGTCAATAATCAATGGTGGGATACAAGATACAGCCTGGGAACAACTATCCCAAATGGTAGAATTTACAGTGGCGAATGTGTGTCTATCTTGCCAGTCAGTTAAGAATGATAGTACTTGTAGGATGAGGTATGGATTGTTAAGAACGTTTTCATTCATTTGGTATTTATTTTTTAAAAAAAAAGAAATAATAATAGATGATTTAAATAAAATGTATGGTAAGAAGCGCTCCAACATAGTATAGGTACTTCTATACCCCTGGAATTAAAGGACTCCTTAATTATACTTATAGTTATCATTATTTATATTGATAAAAGCACGAACACAGAAGTTTCCGTAATAGTATGTGATGTTGTTTATATGTCTCGTCTCCCTACTGCATAATTGTTAGTGCCACGAATAAATAAGCTGCGCATTAGGGAATTCAGTTAATGTCAAATGAAAAACGGCAATCAAAGACTTTTACAAATTAGAATACGAAAGAAGACAAGCAAATTTTTATAGATAAAATTAATTTTATTGACGAACTATTTAATGGAGCTTGATTCGGCTCTCAAGACTATGTCTCGATTAACAGGATCAACCACGGGTAGGTACAAGCTCATCTGATCCCAAAATTATAATTACAGACCCTATAAAACGGGAAGCCAGAATCTGTATTAAATGCTCGCAACCCTCGACAACATATCAAGGCCATTGCTAAAGCCTTAGTATTCTTCTGTTACAAAGAAGCACTAGGAAGTAAATGAGGTGCTACACAAAAAAAACCTTATTGGGATGAGTGAAAAAGTGATTGCAGTTACAGTCAGCTGCCAGCATGATACCATCAAATAAGGTGAAGGCCCAAGGGGGCACCAGTAAGCCCTCAATACGCTAAGGACACTTACTGGGAAAAGAAAAAGAACATAGGAATACTACATAATGTGGTAAAGGGGATAATGAGGGAATGTGATAAAGAGAAGATTGAAGAGAGAAAAAGAAAGTTTTGAAATTTTTTAGAATATATTAGGTTAGGTATAAGTCACGGTGGGGTGGGGTGGGTGGGACACACCGAAATGGTGGCATAAGGGTCCAAGGACCAATCAAAGTGGCTGTGAAGTAGCTTGATAACCACCAGAGGTTGGTTCTCTTTTTAAAGAGGGATGTCTTGATAAAATGCTATAGTTTGACTCTATATAAGACATCAGGATAGAGCGAATATTCAAAGCAGCATTTACATCCCTTTGCCATACCTATTATTACTCATTAAAACTAATACTCTTATCATTTACATTGCACTTACGATATCACGGTCATTTACAGCTGGGCACAAGTGACAATGCTTCAACTGATACATGACCGGAGGATAGCCTTCAGATAAAGTTTAGTAATAGTCCAATATGATTTTATGCGCAACTTTACTTACTGCTGGGTTCTCTTTGTGGGCACTCCGATGTACGACAAACAATCCTCTTGTCATCGTCCAAACATCGTAGAGAAGCATTTTTTTTTCTCCTCTCAGACGAACTTTCTTTTTCCTTTTGAACATAAAAAAGTTAAAGCTATTTAATGTTACAAATACAATGATCTGCTTACTTGTGATTGCAAACAAGCTTTTGTCTTTCATATTTGTTCTCGAGACGTCGGTGGCATTTTGAACAATTCACACTTGTCCTGAACTCATCAACAGGAATTACTAATGCCCTCTGGGCCAATGCCCTTTGAACCTTCTGTATATAAAATGAACATCAGCCTATTCAATAAAGTGATAAGGCTGCTATGCTACTCTACCTTCACAGGGATGAGGGTATACCCTGCTTTTGTTCCAGTCAAGCTTGCATCACCATAAGCGATTACTGTTCGCTTTGTTTCTTTTGCAACTATTCCGCTTGCCTTTTTGAACATATTCTTTGCTTTTCTTCGTTTCTTTGAGCTTGTTCTGTGGGCAAGGGTGTAAGGAGCACCAGCGGCAGTTTGACCTAATACGAGATCACACATATGGTTGTCTGTGGCTTTTCTATTCTGAACAAGGTATGCCTTCGTCTCACGATGACGATAACCTTTCATAAAATCAAAAATCCTACAAGATGCAAAACGATAAGTATAACAAACAAGGCCACTCAAATACTTACTTTTCTCGGTTTCTACCGATCACCCTCAAGTACTTCAGGAGTTCATTACTATTGACAGAGCCCACTGTAGGAATCTCACTGTATACCTCTTGTATACCTACCGCCTCCCTGTTTTTCAACTCATTCTTTCTTTACCACTCAAAGCCCGAGCGCATCCTAATGAATCGTCAGTAAAAGTTTTTTTTTGGCATTAAACAGAAGATTATATAAACTAGCGTATACTTACTTGTATTCGGCATTGCTGAACTTTGTAGTTTTTTCTTTAACTGTATCCTTATCTACAATTTCAGAAGCTGAGCAATCCGTCGCAGCAAATATGTCTCTAAGGCCTATGTATATTGTAAGTATTACTTGATATTTTCAAAATAATGTTCATACCTGGGTTCTGGCCAATTATTCTATCGTTCAGCATGATGCCCGTAGGCTCTTTCTTCAAAGGATATAGTCCTTTACGCCAGATGGTTAGATTAACCTTTCTTTTCATAAAGTTCATTTCGCTGTCGTCTTGCGGAATTTGTTCTGTTTGAAGCATTGATCAGTATTTGAAGTATATAAAAAGGTTGCTTCATTACCTATGGCTTTCTTTATGAACAAAATTATCACTATGTGCCCATCGGTTTTCCATCCGTAATTCAACCTGGCACATGGTTGGCTTCCTTTAATAGATTTATAATTAAGAATGGTGAATAAGCTACTATTAAAGAAACAATATAAACATACCTTGGCTGGCGCTGCTTCTCTTCTTCTGTATGTGGTCCAAGTTGAACAGTGTTTCCCACAAGTGGTTTTTCCAAACAACGTCTCCGTAGTGGTCCTCAAAGCTTGTTGGTCCCATCAATGCCGGAATATACTGTGTAACTGCTACTGTTAGTAAAGCACACAACTGGAAATTACAGAATAGAAGTACCCTTCTCTCTTCAAAGCTATACTCCTCAGTATATACTTGTTGGGAAATTTTTAGGCCAGCGTTGAAACATCTCTCGAGGACACCATGCATTGCATGAGCACCGCTTAGCGGCACAAACACTACCAATGCTTACTGTCGTTAGTAACTTTTGATAGTACTCATATATGGCTTACGCATGTTATTGCTTGGTCTAGGCATAACATGCCAAGTTTTGATTTTTAATTCTGGCTTTGATATTACTTCTTTTAGTAACTCTGCACTAAAGCGTACAAGCTTCGCAGAGTTGTTTTTAGCATATGTATAATCAGAAATTGATTCAAAGATATCATTGTTAAATACATCTTTATATATGCCAAGTATTTTGCTAGATGAGATAATTAATACTTGCATTGTGATTCAAATCCTTCTAGTTCAATATTGGCATCCTTGTATTCTTTGTAGAGCTCGATGCTTTTAGCAGCTTTGGTTGCTAATAGATTACTGTAAGATGACACAGCATAAAAGGTAAGATATTGACTCACCAATGATTCTAGGATTAAATGATTGGCTTGTACTTTCCCTAAGGCCTCGAAGGAGCCCCAAAAGGACGCGAAATATATACAAGTTTACGTTTTGTGTAAGATTCAGAGAAATATCTTCAAAACAAAATAAGATTACATAAATTGACTAGGTTATTTTAAATCACTTTGTATGATGGAAGAAGTATAGAGATTCGATATTGCTATATGCAAGCGGCCCAAGACAGGTATGCTATATAAATATTCTATTGAAAACCGTTTAGTGTTAAAATAGTACATGTAATAGTGCCTACCTTTTGTGTCAGGAGATCTTACGGAATCAAATTCTTCAAAACAATCATTGATATTCTTGGAGGACTTCTACGCTCGTTTCATTAGTGATTAAGAATTTGATATAGTTTTGACTTATAATTCTTTCATTACGCTTGTCTTTATCGTCTGCTACCTTTCTATACAATGAGTCCAAAGCTTGTGCATCATAATCAACGGAAAGTCGCTGCTAGAAAACCCATTTTCAATCCATTTGCTTACTATAAAAAGACCAAAGTTCATTGTATCTGCTCTCAAGATTGAGAACTCTTTTGATACTTGTCGAAGTATTTGCTATGCATAAAAGTACAGTTACTTAATACTATTCATAACAGTAAGGCGCTTATGATTTTAGTTTTTATTCTTACACGATATTCTTTATAGTCATTTTTTAATAAAGAAGATAGTTTGCATCTTCTTGAAATATATTTATCTGAAGGATTTAGAACAATATCTTTTATATTTTTTTTGTTTTTTAGGTAATGGAAGAGGGTTTGTAGAGGATGAAACTCTTTTACCTATACGACTTATTAATAATTTATGCAAGATATAGTACATATGAACACTTTGCGAGGCATGTTGATATTACGAATGAAAGAAAAAAGAAAGATGCGGCAACAGTTTTTCTTTATCGAATGCTTTGGACAACTCTTTTGACAACATAATTATTATTTATCAGAAAAGATTGGGGTATCCTGGGATGCTGGTGCATCCAAGAGCGGTCAGAGTGCCACCATCGACGCAAGTCACGTATAGAAGCTCGAGACAAAGATATTGAAAGAGTGCTTGTCAGAAGAATAGACCAGTGGTAACAATCAGACAACCAGGACAGCGCAGGGGCTGGTGCGTGGGCAAGATCACGGGAGCTATGTATGGGATTCATATTAATATATTCATTTGTTCGTACTTCATTGATTAAGCCCCTGATACGGTGCTTAATATCATTTGGAACATTATTATTTCCTTCGATAGCACTTAGGGCGTTCCAGTAGCTAGCCGATAACGTCTTTGAAGGTTTTTCGGAGGCGAAAAGATTCGCTAGAAGTTAGACTAATGCTATGTGCGCCACCTCCAAATACTAGCTATGATGCTATCCAATAAAACTTTTCATCATCCTGATTTGTTTCTTTTTATTTATTCTAATTTTCTGTTGTCAGTTGATCAAAAAGGCCACTTATGATAAATTCAAGTGTATTTTACATTAAAGGACATCCCACTGGACAGCCTTAGTCTAAATAGCGACTTTAATAGGACGAAATTATAAAATGAAATCACAGTTAACGCTCGTAACGTTAGCCACTTTGTCATGAAACGTTTCTAGCATGTGGTGTTTTCCGGATAGTTTGACGAAAAATAAGTTGAATGTGGTTCCTAACTCAACCTATGCTCTTTGAGCTGCTCTTTTTTGTTCGTAGTTTTAAATTAACAACAATACAATTCAAATTTTTCTATATCCTATGTCCTTTTATATTTTTCTAAGCGCACTGTTCTACTTTCGCTGCCTGAAGAATCTGTGAAACTAACAGATGGATCGTACCACATCTTCCGTCTCTATTTCGACAGCTGAACGAAGCCTCGTCCAGTGAGTTTATTCCCCGTCCATTATTTTAAAAATCCGCTGTAGATGATAGCCAAATCAAAATTAAGCTTTTGCTGTAAATGCAAGCTGGCTCCGTAATTTGAGCGTCATTTTTCATTTTTCTTTTTCTCATTCATACAAAATGAGCTTGGTTGAAGATAACAAAAACGATAAGAATATACAATATGCTCATAGGAAGCAGTGCTCCGTCCGAATCTTTGTGGGTCCTTGGGATCTGTCAAGTCATGCAGAGCAAATGACAGAAGAGATAAACGAGCTTTCTGTTGCTCTTCCAGAACCAGAGCCAAACAACACAAGGTATAATAATACGTAAAGTAAACAGCATATATCAATCCTAACCTCTTTCTCGAATAATAGCTTACCTCCTCCAGCCGACGTGCCTTCCTCTCCAATTATTACACCAAGCTCAGAAGGAACAAGTTTTGTCACAGCACGCTCAAAAAACACAGCCCTCAGCCCTCAGCAATTATCACCGTTCGATGAGATAGATTATAACGTGTTAAATACAACGATACCACCTATAGATACCATCAGAGACCAGACAAAAACCCTTGTGGAAGACGAAGATGATGCGGTCTCGGTTGTAACAGTGAAACCTGAGAAGAGACTGCCAACACTGCCTCCAACGCCTGGGCTTGCTCCACCTACAATAGCCTTATCATCTGAAACAGCCAAGCCTTTGCCTCCGATAGTTAAAAAGAAACTGAAACAAAAGAGACGCCGAACTCGTAATAAGACGTTAAGGTGGAAAAAGGCCGGTACTCTCTTTGTCCCTAATGCACAGCCTATTCAGAGCGAGAGATCAACTGCGTTGAGCGCAGTACTGAAGAGAGGTTTAGTCATTTGCATGAGAAAAGTCACGGATCGAATTGGCTCTGAGCCTACGAGATATAAAGCTTCCAAAGAAAACAAGTTTGATCTATTAGCAGAAAATTGGACACAGGTAGAACTCGTGTTGACAAGATCCTACATTACAACGTATTCCTTTTCAGTAAGCATACAAACAAAAAAAAAGTACTACCCATTACTTATCTCTCTTGCCTGTGAGTAGACGTATTTTTGGCCCAATCATCGCTTAGAACATCGTATCTACTTTCAAGGGCCCAACAAGCCGAGAGACCTCGAGCTATTTCTGTTTTCACCACTGGACTATACCTTTGGACTTCGCTTTTCATCCACGGCAGGGAAGACACCAACGACAGTTTCGATGATGTTTAAGGCGAACACGTTCCTGCAGTGTCAGGAATGGTATACCCAGTTATACAAAGTATTACCCAAAGGCGCTAAACGGCCATTCCCTTCATACTGTGAGGTCTATATTCCCGCCATGAACTTGACTCTCAATCTACCGTTAGAAGAAACACAAGGATGTTACGATATTACACTTGCAGATATCAAAGAAGCTGTGATGACGGTTGTTGAAGAGAGCGGGTACGATGGCAAACTTTTCTGCTTGGACGATGATGAGATAGGTGTTTGCTGGGCAACTGAGGAAAGAGCAGAATGGGCTTACTGGACAGCATCACCAGCCAATCCGGACAAACGTATCGATTTGGCCGTCTGTCCTCAGAGTATTGAACAGACACACCGATTAGAACTGCGTGCGATAGAACATACGCCGGATCACATCATCTTGGACCAAAACGACATTTTGAACGAGCCGTGTCCGATGGAGGGATTTCTCGTATGCGCAAGTGATTTCTTTGGATTGACAGCAAAAGTAACAGGAAAAATGTATTATTTTGCTTCATTTGATCAGTACTTGGTCTATATCCCCTCAGCCAAGGCAACAAAGCCTCACACAGAGAACATGGTGAATCACGAAAGTTTAGGTGAACACACATGGTTTATCTCACCTTACACATCAAAAGCCAAATCACAGTTAGAGATGGAGGAGATAAAACGTCGAATGAAGCTACTGAGTGAGGCAAAAGGCTTGATTGATCTTACCGAGGTATCTTACGTTAAAAGACGCTTCATCGAAGAACACGAAGATATTGGTTATGAAAGTCATATTAGTCATGAACCACTACTGGGAGGTTCAAGGCTACTGTTTAGGAAGAACCTACCATGTATCTTGGAGTTTGTGATGGAAAACGGACTGCAGATTCAATTCCAGACATACTCTCAGCATACTTGTGACATCTGGGTTAATCATCTATCACAACTCATCATTTACTGGAAAGCACAGAAAGAAGCAAGACGGACCATTCATCTGAATGACCATTTTGGTGATCTTGTCTGGAATGAAAAGGAGAGATCAGAAAATCATATGCGTGGAAGAGAAATTCGTATTGCTGATACACGAATATGGAGCTACTGCTTGTACGAAAGGTGTCATGATGTCGTGGTAAGTTTATGATATTGATTCATAAAGTAGTTCTCACTCTTGTACAGAAAACAGGAATATTATACTACAAACCTCATCATCGTGAAACCTTTTCTCAAAAGATATTTATTTTATCAGCAAATGGGTGGCTATTATTCTTTGATGTCTTTAATCGAAACAGCACAAGAAAATCAGGCAACCATGAGCGTAAAGGCGCGATGGATATCGCAGGAAGCTATTTCTTCTCTGGTGTAGATAGTAGCAAGACAAAGAAGGGGTCCAACTCAGACGAAGGGAAGACGGTCAAGGTGTATTCTGACGGATTGACCACAGATGATGACCAGTTGACACGCATATTCTCTATATGGAAGCCTACTCTTCGAAGATATTTTAGTCCTAAACGACAAAGACTAAGAGTCTATCGTCAAGACCAGCAGCTTACTTCTAAAGGTGAAACGGTTACCTTTTTGGCAGAAAGCAGACAAGAAAAGGAAGAATGGATCTGTGCATTGAACAGTGTGGCTGAACATCTACAGTCTTATGTGACTAAACGTAGTTAATATGTATACTTAACCTGAATCATATAAACCTTCTATATAATCGAGCACTCATGAATAAAGCTACTCTGAGTGTACGCGCGTCCTGTTAATGAACGTCACGTGCGTGCGTCATTTAACATCAAGTTCTTTACATTTTTTTTCTGTTTCTTTTAAAAACAAAATGGATTTCGACGAATCTTTCCATTCAGCTCCTGTGCGTTATGCTCTTGATGAAGTAGACAGCGATGAGGAACTTGAAGATAAGATTGAGCCCAACACTATTCAAGTCATGGTGTCCTTACCCGACACCAGTTTAACTTTAATATTTGGCCTTTCAGGTCCTGGAAGTATCTATATCGACTCACTGAAGGGCTTGACATCGATTGGAACTGTAAAATAGACATTGTATATATTGACAAGTATTAAAATAATTTTTTATTAGGTCGAGAATAAACAAGAGACAGTAGCATCCATTCTTCAGATACCAAATCAACCTATCGTGTTTGTGTCTTTTACTAAACAGATCGAAGCAAATGAATCCGTTCAGTATGTTCGATCCATCTTTGAACAATGCAGCCAGGGGCTTTCCAAGGTGATCATACTCGACTCTTTCACAACAGAAAGCGATCTTATACCACCAACCCTTCGTGTTTTACAAAGTTCAGCTTCACCTCTTGTTCAAACACTCACTTTGTATGAAATCCCACATATGGTGACAGGACTATCTGCAGCCATCATCAATTATGTAAGTTGAATGTATGTAGCTCCATTGTTCCCCCACATTAAACATTTTTTCTAGTGTGAAATCCATTCTATTCCATGCTACAACCTATTGACACTTCAAGAGTACGTGTATGGCAAACTATTGGTGACTGACACAACTCTAGAAGCATATAATCATGGTCTACATCAGTTAGGACATGATCACCTCAACTTTGATAGTGAATTATTGCAAAAGGCACTAGAGTCTCGTCACAGTGGTCGCATTGACGATAGCCATCATCGTCTGTATGTATAACAAATAAAACCCTAACCTGTACGCAAATGTTGTCCGTTTAAATAAAACTTTATACAATAAAGAAGTAAAAAATATACACAAAACAGAATATAATCTAGATGCTAATTGTGTGTTTAAACTGCCAAAAGTTCACCCCAGTTACGAAGGAAGACGATAGCACCAGTAAAGACTGTAAGAGAAAGAGCAATGTTGATGTTTCCTTGACGCTTTTCAGGAGAGAAAAGCTCTGATTTCACAGCTTGTAAGAATGAAGGGCTTTGTTCACCTTGCTTCAATTGACGCTTGTCCATGTTTTAAGAATGAGGAATAAAGAGAGAAAAAAAATGTATGGAGGGGGGTTTATAAAAGTCACGACTTTGCTACTTGAGATTAAATTTTTTAGGCCAATTAAATTTAATCTTAGATTTGCACTAACTCAATAGTGTGTTCACCCTCTTAGTATGCATGTTGTCTGGAGACATTTTCAAGAGTCTAAGTATGACAAAAAAAAAAACGACAATGTTCTCTATATCGATTATATATGATTTAGTATAGAGTCATGGTTTATGCTTAAGGAGTATATCATGCTTTTATTCTATGCAATTTCTTCAATAATCAAGTCTTCATCTTCTTCTTCTTTTTGTTCTTTAATTTCTGTAATTTCTGGTGCTTCTTCATCACGAATAAGCATATCTACAATAGTAACACATTTCTCCTTTATGTCTTCTTCAACTTCTTGTGCATGAAGACGTTGAATCACACGGTACACTTGTTTCTTACGCAAGTACTCTCGGCCATATCGTGTTGTTGTCAACAAGATGACTGCTTCAACAAGCATGGCTCTTAGCAAAGGATCTGTTTCACGTTTCTATACATAAGAAGTGTTGGTAGTATACTTTTTTATTTCCTTCATGTGCACATATACCTTGTCATCACCTAACAACTGAATTTCTTCTGGAAATTGCTCGAATTCGTCCATATCATATTCCTCGTTACCACACAATGGCAGCAGAATGAAGGGAAGAGCGTTGACCCTGTCTACGTCCAAAAGTCTTTCATGTTCTCGTGTTTCAAAGCAACAATTTTTCAAAACCGAATCAATACCGCCACGACGAATCACATTAGGATCTTCGCTAAATATCTGTAACTTAGTGAGAGGCGAGAGTTGGTCTGCTTCTGAAGGCTCAATCATAAAGACTCTGCCAAGACGAATACTGGATACGTTGGAAAATACGCTTGCCAAAAAGTGGAATTCAGCTTCAGGATTATATTCCTTTTTGTATCCTTTATGGAACACTTCCACTAAATGATCTAACAAGCGTGTTGACTTGCTTAGTCCTTCGAGTGGTTCGACTTTTCCTTGAATAATTTTGACACATGTTGATTCATACTTGGTCATGTTAGATAATAACATACAGGCAAGGTCTGCCAATACAGATTTAGGGTTCTAATATGATATCAGTCCAGCTTTTCTCTTTTTCTTTACGCTCACTAAGCGGACTTACTGTGATTAATAAGCAAATGTACTTGATGAAACTGTCATCGTCCAACTCTTGCTGAACTGAAGGATCGCTGGATAAATTGATTAAACAACGAAGTGCATCGTGCGCAGTGATCTAAGATGGGTTAATAAAAAGAGAATGACAAAAAAGAGAGCTGCTTTATACTACAACTTACAGGATCTTCACGACAAAGAGCCTTCATATCTTTACAAACTGTCTGTCTTTGCTCGATCAAGATATAACGATACTGGTTACCATTGGGAGTGTATGGTACAAGGTGATGCAATGCAATAGCTCTAATCTATGATATGTCCTTTTAGTGAAGGTGGCTTTCAAACAAAGAAAGGAACTACTTATACCTCCAGAGCAGGTTGATGTAAGAAAGGAATGAGCTAGTTGATAATGAATCATTAGTCGTTATTTCTTTCTTTTCGGTTGTTGTTGTTGTTGTGTGTGTATTAATCAACATACTTCTCTAATTTGTTGCTCCATTGTTAAAGTGATCTATATATTTTTTTTTTTGTTCTTTTTCTTCAATTTAAGATCACTGTGACTGCTCTGAAAGACTGGAGTTTAATTTTAGGCTACAGAACTTGTCTTGTATTTTCTGCAACTGACAGCCCCAACTTTTGTTTATCATGGTAGATTCAGCATTTAATGCCTACTTGGAATGGATAAAGACGAATGGAGGCTCATTCCAAAAGATCAACTTTAGAAAAGGTCAATGAACAACGACATGTGTTTAAAAAAGATTCTTACACCCCCAAGATAGATCTTCACGGAGAAGGTTGTGTATACACGACGGATACAGTTAAAGAGAGCGAGCAGTTTGCCACAGTCCCTTTTAAGATCTGTATTACTGAAAAAGTAGCTCGTAAGGCGCTTCCAACCTTGACTGACTTTTCTGGTCGTGTTGTGCAATCCTTATTTTTACTGTTGCAGAAAAACTTGGGTGAACGATCCTTTTATTACCCTTACATCAACATACTTCCCAAAAGGATAGTGACAGCAATGCATTTTGATGAGGAAGATATGGCTTATTTACAAAAGACAAATATGGAATTGGCTGTAAGGGAAAGAAAAGCAGCCTTGCAGAGTGAATTTACGCGGCTTTTGGAACATTTGCCGGAGAATGTTCATAAGGAGGATGTTAGATGGTAATAGTGAATATTGCCTATATAAAAAATGTACTTAGTCTTCCCTCCTTTCGTATTGCTAGGGAGGACTTTTTATGGGCACACAGCATGTATTCATCCAGAGCATTCCCTTATAAGTTAATAGATCCTTCCTCTACTGAGGAGTCCGAGGTTCTATTTCCCTTGGTAGATGCATTAAATCATAAACCAAATACAAAAATTACGTGGTCAAGGAGTGGTGATAGCGAGACTGGCTCATTGACCTTTGTTGCTGGACAGGAATACCAAGTAGGAGATGAAATATTCAATAACTATGGACCAAAGGTAAGTCATATGTCATCTCTATCATTCTGCCTCACACATTATTATATATAATAGTCTAATGAAGAGCGTAAGTATAGTTTGTATAACGATAGAAGACAGGACTCATTATTTAATAGTGTTGATTGGCTATGGGTTTTGTTTCGAGGTAATAACAATAAGAGAGAAAGGGTAACTGATGATTGACCTTTTATAGTATAACGAATATGATCACATTGCCTTGAAGCCCAACTTTTCTCAGGATTTAAACTATCAGGTTAAGCTTGATATCCTTCAAAACTGCGGTATTTCATCTGGGAATACTGATCCATATACTTTCTACATTCACCGAAACAACGTTCCACCCATGTTCTTCAAGATGATGAGAGTCCTGGTTATGAATAATATGGAAACAGCCTACTATAGAAGCTGTCATGATCTCAAGTTTTTGGACATGGTTGGTTATCGAAACGAGCTTTCTATGCTATCGATGACTCTCACTCTACTCAAGACACGATTAATTGCCTTAAAATCTGTCGATTTGGACACGAGTGACAATATACCGGCCTGGCGAAAGTTTGCCTTGATGTATCGTGCAGGTTAGTGCATAATACCTTTTTAAATCGATTAAACTGATGTTGTGTGTGTAGGTCAAGAAGATGTTTATAATGTCACAATTACCAAGATAGAAGAAATGAAGAGTCGAATTATCAGCTGTATGAATCAAGACATTAAAGAAAACAGAATGGCTCCAAATGTACCATTCTTAAGCATAGTGAATCCAGATTATGAATATACATCTTTGACGATTGATAGCAGCCCATTTATTTCATTGGATATGGTCATCATCACTTTGGACAGTCTCCTGAGGAAGAATGACCCCTTTTCAACGGCGATTACAGAAATATTCGAAGACTTTGATGAAGAAGCGGATGTTATATTTATGTTGTCGCTTATCAATGAAAAGTTTAATGAAAATAGCAAATGGAAAGAGTTTTTCAGAAGAATTTCTTCAAGGTAAGCAAATATTGATGGGTATAAAATGAACTGCGCGCGCGTGTGTGTGTGTGCTAAGCATATGATCATACTCCCCTCTTAGTGATACGACGGTAAGCCAAGACGAGCAAGAACTGAAAGAGATGTATGATTCAATGATTCCTGAATTTTCAGAAGCCTATCCTCATGTCTTTAGCTTGGGCAAGTTTAGCTTTGAATCGTTCGTTTGGGCCGATAATATCTTGAATAATTACTCCATTGATAATCCCTTAGCCATTGTACCACTTTAAATAAATAATCTGTCTTTGGATACACCCTATTTGATGAATACCAATTTTGGTAATCGTCCCCTCAATTGCAACACTTTTTTTTCTTGTTTGCCTCGCTCTGTCCTTTCTCTCTCTCTCTTTCTTTCTTACCCTTTCATTGATAACTCAACACTGGATAGATCATCGTTCTCATGTCAATAAGCCTGTATCAATATGTCTGCATATTTCTGGCTTTGTACCTACTTCGACAGCTATTAAGGACAATACTGGCACTTCGCTTTCACTTTCAGTTTAGGCGAATAGGCTTCTTTTCTATTTCAGGCATTCAGTATCATCACCATAGATCATCAGAAACAGCATTATGGTCAATAACTGCAGGAAAACTCAAGATTAGAATAAGAAGACGACCAAGACTATCATCAACTACAGCATCAGCATTACCCTTCATTACCATTCACGTCACAGACGTACACGTCCAGTTGCATAGCTTGGCTGCTTTAGCAGAGAGGAAGAAACAGAAAAGACCAGCTAGTCCACTAAACAGACGGATATCACGCATGAGCAGCTCACTCACTCATATACCTTGGTGGTATTCGCTTTCGTTTGTCAAGACATTCTTAAAGTTTGTCTCTGCTCTACCAGCTCAGTTTTTGATGGCTGGACTTGCCAACTATGTTGATTTTCAAATGGATAACTTTACTATGAGCATCGAAAAGGACGTACGATTCCATGTTCAACACACCAATTTCAGCTCTGTTTTGTTTGCAGCAGTCAACTTACCTTCACCTTCCAACAATCGAGGAAAGCGAACGTTATCACTTCATGCAAGTCATCAACGGCATTCAATAAAACGTGCTCAACATCTATTTAAAGAGAAGTTTCTTGAGATCGTAATCAATACTGGGCCTATTTCTCTCGTATCTCTCGGAGCCACAGCAACAACAAGCGAAATTATAAGTCTGCCTTCAGGAATACATATTGCCGTATCATGTCATCTTTCTGCAGGATGCGTTACTTTGAAGGATGTGGATGTTAATGCGATTATAGAGACGATCAAGATGAATGCGGACAGTTTACTAAAGATTATGAACAACTTCAAACACACGCGCTCATCAACCGCTTTGGGCGATCCAACAACAGCAATAAAAGAAGATAAACGATCTATGCTTGTCAGACTACTTCATTATGTTTCGATATCAGTAGGGGACACAATCATAGAGACAAATCACCAGGAGGACTGTTCAAGTACACTTTGCATAAAAGAAGTCTCTGGGAGTGCAACAATGGAAAATGACACGATAGGCATTGATCCTTATATAAAGATGCATTATACAACGGGTTTAATGTCTTGGACCATAACGGATAAGTCGCTGCCGATAACAAAAACTCGACAAATAGAGGTGATTATTGTACCAACAGTGACCGTGCAAGTAACCATGTCTCAATCAGTCATGGCCAAGATGACATATGAGAACATGGATACACTATCAACATCTTTTACCAGTGATGAGCTGATTTCCAACAAGAAGTATATAAGTGTTTCAGTAAATGTGAATCAGCCAAAGGTATTTTTGGATATTTCTAAAAGCGATACACTGCAAAAGATATATTCAAGTCTTAAACGTGATAATGATACTCTTGATGTACCATCACCAGCTTCACCTTCAACCGTCAAGCATAGCAAGAGACAGTTCAACAATTTACCTCGTGCCAGTTTGAATATTACAGTTGAATATCCGTCTGTGTATTTTCGATGTGTAGAAAAGAGCGTAGGACTTCTTTCATGGAGTGAGCTTAGTCTGGACGCTTCCGGTACTTATATTGCAGAAAGAAGCAGACCAGCCTCTGTCATGTCCAGCCTTTCTGAACCATCAGTGACGTGCGATTCAACTCTACCAGGTGAGAATAAAATAGAGATATCTTTGGACTCAAGTATAGCTCAGCGACTACACTCTCCAACACGGCCATCATGGACAAACTTGTTTAGACGAAGTTGGCGTTCAAAGGAATCAGGTATCAACTATCAGCAGAGTAATGGCGCAGAATGGAGATACAGGATCAAGACAAGACTGGTTATACAGCATACTTGCATCGACACGCTTGCAAAAAAGACAGGAGATCAGCCATTGGTGTCAATCAAGGATATTGAACTGCTATTCAGCACCAATTCAAATGTAAGTTTTATCGACCAAGACGATACTCAACACCAAGTGCAGGTTCTATGGGATCCTTCTGTTCAGCACCAAGAAATAGAATTTACCGTAGACAAGCCCATGTTGAATCTTTGGTCAAAGACAGAAACAGAGAACAGCCAATTGGATTTTTGGATAAACAACATATTTAAAGAGATTAAGCAAAAGATTCCATCAAAAAGTGTTAGTCAACCTCCAAGTAATAACAACAATGATAGAAGGCAACGTTTATGCAAGCATCTGTTAACAACAAAAATTCAGTTTGAACTCAACAGTGCAGTCATTGTATTAAAGGGCATAGATCAAAGTCTGAAAGGAAAGAGGGAGGTTCCTGCTGGGTATATAGATAATACTCCAGAAAAGGACGTTGGTGTTTATTTGACACTTACCTTTGACCGTCTGTTTGCCGTATTTATTGGATCTCATATATCTGATGCCAAACGCCAATCACATAGATACAGTACTAGTCTTGGATCCATCAGCAGTATACACACGTCCGATGGAGAAGCAGATACAGATCGTGAGGAGCAAAGCCTTGGATCGTTTCGTTTTTCAGCACAAGAAATAGCGATCAAAGACTCGTTTGAATTGAGCTCAACAGATTGTCAACTATTGGAAGAGAAGAAGGAATCAGTTCTTTTGTGGATTTCTCACCTCAATTTGCGAACGAGAATCATGAGGTCAAAGCAGATAATTATAGTTGCACCATCTATGGTTATCAAAAAGATAGGCGTTCAATACTCTATTGCCAGTCATTATGCTCTCTTGGTTATCCTGATTTCAACAAAGCAGATTGTACGCAACATCACACAACAGCAAGATAAGCATTCTGCAACAATGGAAAGGAAGCGGTCCGTTTTGCTTCGTAAATTTCAATTTCAAGTAAACCGCACTGACTTTCATGCTGTCATGCCAGGCGGTGCACAGCTTTATACGCGTGTAGACGGGTTAAGAACTGAATGGTCTAGCGAATTACAGAAGCGTGGAGAGGTACCATCGACAGCGATAAGAAACATCACAGTATATGGCGTATCACCACAAGAAGAAGGACAGTGGGATCAGCTTTTAGAGATGGATGGCGCATCACTGTCAGTTGAAAAAGACGTGGACACACCTTCCAAAATACACCAGCTGTCCATACTTAAATTTTATTTGAGAATACCATACAAGTATGAACTCTGCCATGTCTTGGACGATACTGTAAACTTGATCAAGTCAATTAAGGCAATGCATTCTCGACTATTGAAGGATATACCCTTTCTATTTTTTGGTCCTACTGAAAAGAAAGAGCCCATGCTGATACCCAATATACAGCTGAATTGTGAATTACTTACATTTCAATTTGAAGATGATCCTTTTGAAGTAAGACTTCGTTCTATTTGGAAGACGGGTGTCATTGAACAGACAAACCGCTTGGCGTTGAATGATGCATTTGATTTGAAGGCAATGACGTTGACGAAGCATCAGTCGAATGAAAACAGTGAAGGGGATACTGATGCAGGTAAACATTGAAATGAGCGTCCTATATTATTGTAGCTTATTTTATAAATAGACACTACCAACGAAGACAATGATGCAAGAGTCAGTGAAGCCTGGAAAGGCTTGCAGCAACATAACTCTAGATCATGGAAAAAGCACATTGATGCAGCTATTTCAAAGGAAGTAAATGCATATGAACAAATCCGAGGAGTGGATTACCGAAGTTCTATATTCCCTGAACAAATGGATGGCGTTACTGACGATAGCATTCAAGGATACTCTAACATATTTCATATCAGTATTGTTAGATTACCACGTTGCTCGCCTTTACTCGATCTTACGATACGCAATACCTCTTTGCTCTTCCAACATCCAGAGTTTGAATTGGAAAAAACACGCGAGTTCATACATGATCTAGGAAAGGGGCAGCCTATAGATACCCCCTTGTCCACATTGATACCCTTTCATTTGACATGGAAATCTGGAGAAACTTGGGCGCAAATCCGTGATTATCCTATACCATTCGTTCTGGTACCTCCAAATGATGCTCAAAGCCACGACGAGTACTCTTGGTCGCTTTCAGGAAATTATGTATTGGCTGATGCTTTAGGCGATCTTGATGCTACACGATCAATCAAGATACCCATCATATCAACCTCAAGCAACCAAACTGTATACAGCATTATTATTCCACGTACGAGTACTCCTCTCAAGTTTTTCTCTGTTGTAAATATAAATGTTCATACCCCTGGTCTATCGTATATATGTTGGTGTGTACCTTATCAGCCCGCCATCCAAGACATTACCCGTGTCTTTGAGACGTTTACCAAGCCGCCAGTAGATCCATCAGAAAAGGTCGGCTTCTGGGACAAGATTCGACTTATCATACACACACGCACCAATATATCATTTACTGGAGGGGGAGATCTTGCGGTTGTCATGAAAGGTTCAAGAAATCCATACGAAATGAGTGAAAAGGGATTTGGCCTTGCCAAGGTCTGGAGGAAAAATGTGATATGGCTCATAGGACATGAGAACCCAGAAGGCGATTTTATGCAAATCATCAGTCATGACTATGCGTTTGGTGTACCTGATCTCGTCAACGGTGGATTTACTGCCCCTTATATATTACCGACACATATGGATAGATCCCATGACAGACAATCCACTACGTCGTCTTTGTCAAGTTCTTTGGAAATTAATGACAGAAAGCCAAAAGGAAAAGACTCTTGTTTTGTCAAGATTGCTCTAAAAATGTCTGATGGTATTCGTATGGGTCTTGGTTGCCATTTGGAACGTGCATGCAACTGTGATATCTGTGACGAACATAATGATATTCCAGCAGATATTCGAGAGGCTCACAGACGAACATTGCTCAATTTTTTGCCGCACTATAAAGTAAAGATGAAAGCAGCAGATAACGTACATGAAGAGGTAAATAGGTTATTTTCCTTATTACAAAATACGATGCTAACGCATATAAAAAGGACTATGACGCCTATAGAGGCTTTAGATCAGATTATATTCACTTTTCAATCAGTATCGTAAAGTTATCATCAAATGAATCAGAAAAGGAGACCACAAAGGTTGTTGGCAACTCGATGCACATATCGCCTGGTTTTGTCGACCATTTCGTATCCTGGGTTCGATTGTTTGGTGGTGCCATGGGCTACCCCTTACGAAGTGGGCCTCTATTTCCTAAGCTAGATAAAAGGCCTACCAAGAAATTCGGAAAGCATATGAGTACGTTAAAGTACAAGATTGTCATCAACCCCTTGACAATTGGTCTGTTTATGAAGGATGAAAATATGTCGTTTGAGGAGACAACTGTGCAAGATCTTGGTGACTGTGTTGGTCTGAAGGGTTTTGTCAGAGGATTCAGTTTGGACATTCACCAACGTAGAGAGATCATCAACATCTCAAACTATAAACTAGACCAGAAACGTTTGAAGGCAAACTGGCCTATTCATGAGGCTGAAGTCCAGCTCAAAAATATCGATATTCGTGTAGTGAAAGCGCAATATATGGCAGATGATAAAGAGACTTCGCCTACTGATAACACTAATCAGTCGACAGAGTCTTCAGCAGATGATTTGCATGACCTTGGTTGTGAAAACGATGGAGATGTTCCTGATATGATGGAAGGCTTAAATTATCAGGGCAGTAGTGACCCAGAATCATCAGAATGGGTGGACTTGGATGATTTTATAGAGCTGAATGTCGTCACGCCTAGCGTTCTTCCTTCTGTACAGGTTTTACCATTTGCGTACTCGCCTTATATATACTACATTCGACAAACAAATAGAGATGATGCACAAAGATACAGATATCTTCATGAAACCCATGATTGTATACTAGGAACTGCAATCAGTAAGTAGAGTAAAGAGTATATCACATCAAATACTTATTCAATTTAGACACACGCGAGATGCAAATAAAGCTGTTGCAAGATAGAAAGATGAATATTGACATTCAAATCAGAAAGCATCAGGCCCGATTACATACAAATGAGATGAAGAAGAGACAGCCTGGTGCCGATGAAAAAGCGCTTGATGAGCTGGTAAGATAACAGAATGAAAATTGCTGATAAACCGACGACTAAATTTCTCTTCATTTTATATAGTCTGACCAAATAGTTGAAAAGACGAGAGTTTTATATGAGAAACGAGAACTACTTCAACGATATATCAGGGATATTTCTACACAAATGATGCCTGGTGTTGACCATAGCAAGGCCACAAATGGATACTCCAATTTATCTGTATTTGCAGAAGATTACTTGAAACAATGGGAGGAACACTTGGGGTATTTCAAAGTTCGTTGTATTGCTCACAACCCTCAAATCCTTTGGAACAACTCTGTCCGAAATATTGTCTATCACGCTCTCGATCTTCGCGAACACCGAAGGGCTCTCACATACTATACAACATCGCGTACTGTCAAATTCTTGAGAGATTTGATTGACGCTCACTACACACAACAGATCCGTCACAGTGACCATTTTGTACTAGATAATGACGATGGTGGGCTTGACTCATCAATGGTACAGGACCTGATTACAAAGCTTTTGTCTGAGAAGGATACAAAACTCTATGCGCCTAATGAAACTGAAGAAGAGGGAGAGCTTGAGTTTGATCAGATAGATATGTCTAAAAGCGAAAACATCAATAATCCCGAGATGCAAGTGAAGAGTATACCTAGCGACTATGTTATGAAGAGTAGCTACTTAATTGACCTTCTGAATCCGCAAATCAGCTTACAAAGTGATTGTGATCCTGACAATATTGTACTAGCAGCCAATGAACGAATTCAAGTCAAAGGTTTCAACATTATAGATGAAAATGAGCCTGATGTAGAAATGGAGTCTATCAAGCATAGAACTGTCGCCAGTTTAGATAACCTACAATTCTTTGTAGCTAAAAAGGAGCAGTTTGACAGTGTTGATCTCTTACTAGATAATCATTATGGAGCTAAAGAGAACGACCACTGGCTTGCATGGATACCCCCTGAGATGTTAGTGAGCTATGTGAAGACATCTGATCAATTCCAACGTATCGGAAGTCGCATCTCGGCTACCTTACAGTATGATAAATACAATCCTCTCAGACTCAGGACGACCTCGAGTGTGTTTTCACGTATTCATCCATTTGAAGAACGATGCGATTCGGTTCAACTCAACTTTCCTCAACTTCAGCTCACGGTTGACTCGTCTCAATATAACGCAATATACCAGGTTGCTACCGACCTCTTGCTTTATAAAGAGCCTGCCAAACAAGAACGACTGGCTCGTCTTCGTGAAATCATGATGGCCGCTGACCGATCCAGTCTTGTTGAAACCACTGAAAAGATTGTAGATTTACAAAATCGAGTACGACAGTTGACTTATGCGCGTGACCAGTATCGACAGAATATTGCACTTTTGGATAATAAGCGAATGGAGGAATTCAAATCTATAAAGTTGGCGCTATACGATACTCTAGAAGAGCTTTATCTAGGCATGGAAGCTATTAAGCTTATGCAGAGTAATCAGCGAAAAGATTTCAATGAACCCAAGACAAACCTGAAGCTCGTCTGCTCAATGGAGAAAGTAATATGGGAACTGATCTTGAACAACCAGGTTCCTCTCTGTGAATGTACATTAATTAACGCAAATTATATATTTATCAACAAAGAGGATCACTCGGCTACCAACACATTCGAAGTTGATATTGTTCAAGTGAAAAATACGTCTCCATCGCCAGTGTTTGCAGATGTGCTTGGTCCATACTTTGATCCTCGAAAGCCATATGATTTCTCAAGACACAAGATGCTTCGATGCTATGTTGTAACTTTACCTCCTGTAGGCGGTATTCCTATTGTTCAGCACTTGGAAACGAACCTTCATCCTTTACGAGTTCAAATGACGTATAACTTTGGTAAAGCCTTGGCATATTATCTTTTTCCACCAGAGAAACGGCAAAAGCAACAACAACAACAACAGCAGCAGCAGCAGCCTGAACCATCCAGTACATTACCATCTACTTCTTCTGCGCCTGCTATGACAGGCAGTGATTCCAGCATCCAATATGAGATTCCTCAGTTAGCCGCTTCATCAATTACTCTGCCAGTAACAGCGAATGATAAAGATACGGTGAAAACAATGTCATCTTCCAAGAGTACAGAAAGTGCCCCAGCAGTAATATCAAATAGTGATGACCATCCTGCACCAACGCGAGATGATAGTGAGTTGAGTATTTCAACAGAGAACATGGGTACCACAAGCAAACAATCCAAAAAGCAGAAAAAGCAACAATTGCAAAAGGAGACGAAATCCAAGGCATCAGATGATCTTATGGTCATGAAAAAGCGTGCTTCAAGTAATCGTACATTTATTCTTGTTAAAATCCCAGGCACAAGGCACTGTCTAAGCTATCAAGTAAGGTGCATAAAAAATAACTGGATTAACAAGGCTAACTTATGTCTCCTTAGGGACCTAAAGAAAAGAATATTGAGGACTTGAGAGACTTTGCGTTTGAACAGCCTACTCTTGAATTCCGTAACCAAACATGGTCCTGGTTTGAGCTGATGTCAAATATTAAGAGAGGTACTTTTTATGAAACAATATGTAAATGATATTGTTTTAACTATTTTTCTTTATGTAGACTTTATGAAGGCTGCTTTACGACATAATAGCACTGCTTTACTAAGAGAGAAGCTATTACGACGTCATCCTCGTGAATTTGGTGCCCACTCTGATATCTCAATTCAAAGTTCGTCTGTGAATGGATCAAAATACTTTGTGCCACAGCCAACAAGAATAAAAGATGATGATGAAAATAAGAGTCATTTTGATAATTCTGGGGCATCATCAGATGAAGATGAGGAGGTTGATACCGTATCATTGCACTCGGGAAATTCCCACGAAATGTGGGAGACAGAAGCTTCTGAACCAAGACATACGCATATTTGGTCAAGGTAACATTGAGATGTGATTATTTGCTTTATATATTCAAAGCTAACTATTATATATATAGACTGAAAAAGTCAAAAAAGTCATCCCCTAGTTCTAGCGATGTCAATGAGAAACGATCTACATTGGATACCAATCGTCGTCTGTCTACCGAATCGCGTGATGCAATGTTCAAGAGCTCGTCAACACTCCTGACTCGTACATTATCAAATTCGACACAACGGGAAGATGAACAGCTTATTGTGAAAGGCAAACATCTGCTTGGAAAATACTACAATGGACCAACGCAATGGACTGGTACAAGACTTAAAGGCAGATCAGCGTTTATATCAAATTTGAAAAAATAGATTCTCCTCTCGTCTTTATTGTGTATATTATTTCTTTAAATAAAACTTGGAACCAAGTCTCTTCTTTGGACGCGTCTGTAAGCTCGTTTCTTTTGCCTCCACTTTTTGATTACGTTTCTTTTTTAAAGCTAATCTGATGGACCAAAAGGGCTGCAAGATAGAGTTGGAAATAGCTTTATAAGTGGATGAGGATGACTTTTGGATGTCATTGTTGTTACCAACTTGGACTTTTTCACAGCAATAGTTATCAAATGCAATGGTGCCCCCAGAGGAGTGTGTATTTTCGAATAATTGTGAACTAGAGTGAGGTACGGGGTTTACCTTGTGTGTTGAGAACGATGAGAGTGTAGCTGTGTCAGATAGATTACAAGCCGAGAGATCACCGTTTAGGTCGCTTGCTTGATAAAGCATTGATCTGTTTCCTTCCAGATAAGCATCTAGCTCGTACTCTTCTCTAGCAGGCAGTTCATCATTTTGATGAAGAATATCGTCTTCTTCTTCTTCGCTGCTATCACCATTGACAGCTATCTGATAGTGTTCGAATGACAATGATCTCTTTAATAAGCCATGCTCTTGACAGCGATTCCATTTACTATCTGCAATAGACGGCATCGTTTTACTGTAACAGCATGATAGTAATCGTCTCCTTGTTATGGATGATGATGATGGTGTAGGAGCAGAAGGTGATCTCATCAACTTGACCTCTGTGGGTGTGAAAACCATACTTTCTACAGGCATCACTTGATATAGACTAGGTGAGATTGTACTATAGAACGTATCATTATCATCCCTTGCCACAATATTTAGCATCTCTTGACGTGTCTGAAGGGACTGTTTCATTAAATGTAATCCTAGCGAATTCATTGTTTGAACAAGATGAGTGAGATCATGACCTTGAACTATAATTGATTGCCAAAATTGAGCACACTGAAGCATGCTCTGTGCGTCTGTCCATATCTGAGATAAGTAATTCGAAAACAAGACAAATAATAAATTCGGGTTGTTCAAACTGACAGTATTTAAAGAAGTCCAATCAGATTGTAATTTCTTATACTCAGTTTCAACTGTCATCCATTCTTCCATCATTGAATCAATAATTTAAAGAAAGGGTAAGAATTACAACAGCAATGGTCAACATTTCCCTTTAAGAATGTGTTCATGCCATATTTGGGATACTATGAATTTTTGATCTCTACGTTGGGTCGAGGACTGTTATTGTGTTATAGTATCTCCATTTGTATGTCGTGCCTAACACAGCCCAACTTTCGAGAGTTAAAGCCATTCTCAAATAATATAAAAAGTGATTTGCAATTCTTGGCGAAACATCAAAGTTTCCTTCAAGAATTGAAATCGTATTTGAAATTTTTAAAAAAGAGCCAACGCTATATGCACCAGAAACTAGGCTAATGCTACGGGCGCTTCCTTGGGACACTACGTGTGGCGTCACTATACAAACTCACACTATCAAGATATCTACCTAACCTAAAACTGTCCAGTTCACTCTTGAATGACTTTGATAGAGCTGACAACATAATTTAAAATACAGCAATAACAACATTTTATCCCTTTCTTCTTGAAACTTTATAAAAGTCGCATTCTACATCAAGGAACATGGAAAGATATCTGATCCTGCACAAGCTTAACATGATGTTACATGTTGAAAAGGTGTGTTGACAACATCAAAGGTAGCGCTTGTAATATTGATCCTCTCGTGGATTTCCTCGTGGACGTAGTGTACGCCTTTTTTTTTTGTAGACACTGTCTGTTTACCTCTTTCTCCAAATTACCATGACAACGAGTAAAGCAAATAGAATACAAAAACCCAAGTTGAAACTTATTAACAATGCCGTCTTTTTTTCTAGTACCAGAAGAACTGCTACAATTCAAATTGACACACGACTATATATCAGGTGCAGATCGAATTAGCAAAATCGTAGCTAAGAATCAGTTTGTTATTGACCTGATCACCGCCTCGCTTCTGAGTGTTTCTTCAGGCACCCACACAACCGGTAACAACATGTTTATCGATGGTATAGAGTGTGACATTCTCTATATGTCTCATTCAGTAGATCTTGCCAACCTACCTCCTGTAATAGTGGAAATACAGCACATAGTGACACACGAGTTCATGTGCTGAATCGTCCAGTACTACCTGAATGTGTACAAGCGTTTTCACGTCTTTCCAATTTTATTCGTCGTCTGTACCTCAAGAACGGGCTCCAAAGCTCTGGAGGGCCTCTTCAAACCTATCCAGAACAAGTCTTACCTCCTGGGACCATCTTGCTGCCACTTCGCAACTAGTTGCTTCATTCTGATCAAATAGAGTATCGATCCTTTCATCGATAATCGTGATATCAAGGTATTGGAAACTTTGGTTGCTTTTGTCCACTTTTTAATTTCTGGTCAGCAAAACATAATCAGCATTGACCAATGGGACGACCCAACCATCACAAAACTGTACTTGGTCGCTATGGGAATGGTCAAAAATGACAGAGTGGAAGCCTTACGAACGATTTATTAAACAATACAAAATCAATTTGAGAAAATAGTATCGACTGTTTTCGACAACCCCAACCAAGCATATAGATATGCAGATGCAGGGCGACACTATAGCGCGAGTCTCAAAAGGAAGTACGACACATCGAAACAGGGATCAAGCAACACGCCAACAGAAGTAAAAACATCAATGGAGCTTCTTAAAAACTTTGAGGGTGCTTCTTGTTCTACCGGCACAAATTCTGAAAACAAAAAGTTGATTGCATTTGTCAATGCTTGTGAAATAGAATAACAAGGGTCGAATGAACAGATCTGCCTGCTGGGCAGAAGGAAAGAAGAAGGGCCTGCTCAGTGAGTACTCGAATAGCCAAAGTTTGAAGAATATATACCATAAAGTAAAAAACAATTCCTAATCACTATCAGTATGAATGTATCGAGTTAATAAAGCAGGAATCTTTTTCAGAAAGTTGAGATCCTCCGTTTGTCTGTGTTTAGTACAGTCTACTGAAATTTCATTTGCAGTTTTATTTAATATGGGATGGTCAAGTTAAACAATTATAAAGCATAGGACATAACCATAGGACATAGGATATAGAGCATAGGGTATATGTATAGAGAAGAGGCAGAAAACCACAAGGCATAAAAACGAACGGCTGATAATCATGTTTGGGAGAGCTGAGAAGACCATATTTAGACATTCCTTTTGAGTACAGTCTTTGTGGTAGCTTCATAAATCGAGGGTTTACGAAGTCAGTGAGATACATTGATTTAATTTCAAGACGTCTGTATTGTTTTTTGATATCGTTATGGCTCTCTTGTATTTTGTGCAGGTTGATAGCTGCTTCTTCCAGCTTTCCTCTGAGATTCCACATAAATTGGGTTGCAGGAGCCAACGTATCTTTCAACTTTTTCCTCTCGCCACATTTCATAAACGCCCTTCTTGTCATGCTTCATTGACCAGAGATGAAGAAAGGTGTCGGCTGCTTGCAAAAATTACAGCTTCAGATCGTAGAACGGTTCAATACTGGCATACTTGTACGTTTCTGTAACCTTTTTTAGTATAGCCAATTGACCAAACATAGCTTTATGGTTATTGAAAATTATTTTAGTCTTGTCCTTGTTGTCATAAGGGCCAGAAGGCTCCAAAAGCAGAATTTCCAGATTTCCATAATCATGCATGGTTATTAACCTGTCTGTCTTGTAATCATGGCCATCATCGTTGTGGTTTTATGCGGTTTTCCTCATAGCAGTCGGAGGTGTCTCGCCAGGAAAAAATCCACGTGCCGTATTTTGAATATGATTAGCAACTTGTTCAAGCAAATGATGGACAATGTAGTAGTTGTACTTTGCTGCATAGGCTGGCAAGGGAATCTTTCCACAGTAGACTTTGTCGTATACTTCAAACACTGCTTTAACAAGCGTGTATTCATGGACTGCACTGTCATTTGATGCTGCTGCTATTGCTGTTGTAAATTGTTGTGCAGTTGTGCTATCAATGACACCATCAATATACTTGGTGTGAGCGCTTGAGAACCATACTTACTCAAATAGTCTTTATAAAGACTTTTTGGAAAGCCAGGGAGGTCTGACCCACCCTTTACACATCTAATTGTATTGAAAGATGCTGGACTGTAAGGGCAGCCATCTTGACTCTTCTTGGCCGTGTCCATAAATTTTGCCCATTGGCTACAAAGAGTGTCACCTTACTCTTCATCGCTTTCCTCTTTGCCAGCTTCTGCTTCTTCTTGTTCTTCATCAACGCCTTCCTTATTATCAAAGGGGTACGGACGCTTGTGACCCGCAAAGCCAGCATTATACTGATTCACAATATTTTTGGAGCCTTTAACAGTTATTGGCTGATGTTGAACAACTGATTTTTCTTTGATGGAGCTGAATCCTTCTAAATCAGTGTGAAATTTTGTATTTTTTTAAAGGTAAACACTTGGTGCACTTAAAAATGCACCAGAAGTTAGACTAATACTACGGGCGCTACCACTATTCATTACCTATGATGGTGTCCAACTAGACTATTCAATGTGTAGCGTCAAGCTAAAAATGAGTTTATAAAGTTACCATCTTGAACTGTTTCTTTTCAAGAAGAAAGAGAAAAAAAAAATTCTTATTTCTATTCTACTTTTATGTTGTCAGTTTGATAAACCAAAATGCAAGAGCACATATAATTATGATGACATCGTATTTTATATCAGAGAGAGTGAACTAGACAGACTTAGGCTAGGCAGAGACTTTAGTAGTGTAAAGCTGTATAGTGGACTCTACATGTAGTGCCCCAACGAAGCGCCCGTAGCATTAGCTTATTTTTGAGTACCACATGAGGATACAGAGGCTTTCACTTTTTGAGACCGAAAAGCGCAAACAAACATCTTCCCTTTTTGGTATTATACACTTAGCCATATGATCATTAAAGGCTTGGATAGTGGGCCTAATTTGATAAAGAGGGCCAGGTTCCTGAGCCTGCTTTGAGGGGATTTCAAAAATATGCATTGTCATAATGTCATTGAATCTGTTAAAAGACATATATTGACTAAAATCAGCATTCATCAAGAAAAAAGACTGGCCTTGTCTCCAATATGCCTTTCTATCACCATGTCTGACCACAGTCATTACCGTCAAGAGTGCGATCCACATGAGATATTCATGAAGTGTAATATCTTCCCAATGGCCGAAACTTCTTGCATGAAGGCTGGTGTTGTGGATAATGGAATAAACATGGTCCACAGGGAGGAAGAACAAGAAATAATCCAATGGAAAGGTACATCTTCCATTGTTCATCATTAAACGAGAGCTCAAGGAGGTGAACCCTTCTGCTGAACTACTTAGACGAAAGTTCATATAGACCTCACTAGCAGTCCACCCAGGACTTGAAGTCAAATCGATAGATTCCTCTTCCTCATCTTCATCCACTGCATTTTCCAGCAAGTCTTCAGCTTCGACTACATTGGTGTTGACAACAATTTCCTGAACTACAGGGGCTGAAAGAGGGCCGACATGCTTGATAGCGCCTTCACTAAGCTTGAGGATGTGACCATTTGCTTCATCCAATAGTACATTGTACATCACCTTACCATTTTCCTTAGATCGTGCAATCGTCTTTCCTTGAAAGCTCAATCTAGGCTCGTTCCAGTCGTGCTCATGAAGTAATAGAGTCTTTACTGTATTATCAGCGATGAAACGCTTGTTAACTGATATGCTTACGTTGACATCAAGCTTTTGTTAGCAGGAGGCATGTTTGAACTTTAATTTTACTGATGTTGTTCGAGAGATTTCACTTCAAGAACTTAAGGTTCAGAAAGGGGGCAAAATAAGGGCATGCCATTAGTCTCAAAGAAATTTGGTGTGCAATTTTATTACAATCGTCATCAGTCGAGTTCAGATTCTGATGCTTGCATAACAGGGCAATAAAGTTAATTATGGGTCGTGTCTACCACAATTGCCGTTGCCTCCACTCGGACCTCGGATGTGGTTATATTCTTGGTAACTTCTTCAAACACAGTGTTGACTATATCGGACCCACATTTGTGTTGATCCTTTGGTCGGTAGTAATAGTCTTCGAAGGCGTTGCTTGTCAAACTTCAGTTCGCATGCAGTTTTACTGCCTTCGTGCTTGCTGTGGATCGCAAAGAATGCGCCTTGAACTTGTTTGTGTTGATCCCCGAATCGTACATTATGCCTTCCAGCCACCTGATGGCTGTCTTAGGTTGAATCGATTTTGCGGTGTACGACCATTACCCAAGTAAGCTAGGAACAATGCGTGTTACTCCTCCAACGAAGTTCTAAAGTCCTTGGTACGTTGGACAAATGCCTTCAATGTTCTAACGGGTCATAAATTTTAATATTCGCCTAGACCCAATTTGCTAGCTTTAAATTTGATCTCTTTCGGTGTTCGTACAATTAATGCTACTCCAAGAAGCAAATCATTTAACTCTATAAAAGACACATCTCGATGTTGTCAGTAACCTAGATTGGAACGTGGGCGCCACATTGTAGCTATTGCCAAAAGTACCAGAGTCTTTCTTTGTAGTTGACCCAGCGATAGATTCTCCGTATTCCCTCAATCACTGACCATCTGTAGCAGCGAATTGATATTGAATACTTCTTCACAGATATTCGGTAGTTTATTCCTTGTTCTTTTTCTCGCTTGAAAGAATTGTTGAACCAATCTATGCCCAGCGATATCAGGCTTTCTGTTATGAATTATTCTGAAAACTGAGACTAGTGCTGATCTCATCACATTGAGATGCTTTGATGAATAGTCCTGAATTGATACCAAGTATTTTAACACCGGTTGGGATCATACTCCGCTGGGTCTCTCCTGGAATTCTCTGAAAAACACCAATTTGCTCAGTTTTTCCAGCGGCGGTCGCATGTGTCATTTGAGGACTTGCGGATAGCTTGAGCCAGAAGCTTTCCTGTAACTTCATCCATCCATTCTTTCTTCTGATACTTCCGAATAACCGCCATGCAGTTACTGAGAAATTCTTCTTTAAGGTGAAAACCAGGAGTTCTGCCTTGTTGCGTTTCAACACCATCAGCCACCAAAATTGTGTTGGCCATGTTGGGGTCACTATCACTCGATCTTGATTGATTTTCAATACATGTGATATCAGTTTCCAAGGTAGTTGTAGGAAGAGACCCTTCCTAGGCCATACTTGCTGAAAAGCATCTATTCTTTCTGCTCTGGGATCATTCTTCCATGACCAGTACCTCTTCAACTTGTTGTTGATGCCGTCGGCAAACGCATCTATCCTGAGACTGACATTCCACTCCTGTACAATTCGTTTGACAAACCAATGTGGTAAGCTGTAATTGTGGAATAGCTGAGACATTCGGCTCAGGGCGTCAAGCCCTACTCCTAATTTGATGAGAATTAAATCCAGCTTCATTGATGAACACACAATTCTTTTGAAAATCAACTCCAACCGCTTTCCATTCTGTTATTATCTTGTAACGAAGCTCAATGGTTCTTGTAACATCTCTGTCCATAATATAAATACTTGAATTTTTCAAGGATAGCCTAATTTTCTCTTTCATGTGTTTTCTTAAACCGCTTTCAGATATGCTGAGGCCGTGAAGCATGTTACAAAGCTGCTCTCCTGCCATGTTCACTGTAATACATAGATTTTGATCTACCAAACTTATGAGGAACTGCGTGTGCTTTTGTGTTAGTTTGGTACTATTTGCCTTGAGAGCTCCGTTATTCTTAGAGGATCATTTCATGCAATCGACAGGAATAACAGTTCCATCGCTCTCATTCCATTGCTTCAGTATTTCACATGCAGTAGAGTGCGGAATGAAGCAAACTTTCACGGCTTTGAAACAGAACCACCCTCTTCCTGCATAAAGTGAATGAACTGCTTGATATCCTCAAAACCATAAGCTTTGTAATAGAGAGTCATGTTACTGTCATTATCCTCAGGCACAAGTGGTACATCCTCAGGAACAATATCGTATTCCATTTCTTGAGGCATGGTTTTATCCTCAGCCAATAACAGCAATTTGCCATGAGTAAATGCAGGATCCTCATCGAGATCCATTTCTTCCCCCATTTCTTCAGCCTGAGTTTCACTCATGGCTATTAATGTTAGTTAGTTGAAGTGTCTGAATTGACTTGCAACGTCTGTCTGAATTGATTTTTTCAGTGTCTGAGTTTAAAGTGCAAATACTGTATTATATTACTGAGAATAAAATTTATGCTTTATTTTGGTGCCACGTTAAACGTGAGAAATCGTCATGCGTTGTAACGAATGAGAGAAATTTTATTAAAATAATAATAATAAAACTGCTTTTGCTTGATGCAATAAAGAAAGATTGAATACTAATAATGATAATTTTACAAAAGTACATATATATATACGTCACATAAATGCATAATATAAGAAGAGAAGAGGAATGATGTGTGTACAGGAGTGTATTGAAGCTTAGACGCCACCACCACTTCGGCTGTGAGTTTAATTTTATATTTAGTGGTCTGATATTCGCACAAAAACATATCACTTACCTAACATCTCTTAAACCAATGCCATTGTTACGTAGCCTCCAATCAGCTCGAATACGATCCAAATTAGCTGAATCAAACGAGGGCTCACCTGATGGAACAAAGACAAGTGGATGTGATACAGGTACGATTGAAGCAGCCTTAAGTCTTGAAAAAGTATAGACAGTTGCTGCAACAACTGTTACTGGTACTGCCCTACTTTATATAAGTATATGCTTATAGTCAACCCAACCTATTCTTTACCAATAAAGAGAACCTTTGGGTATAATTTGGTTAGGCATTTTTGTATTAAAATAAAAAAGAAAAAAAATAGAGAAAAAAGAAAAGAAGCCTGATTTTTATAGGAAATGCTCGTTCTACAAAAGTTGCATAAACAATATATGCGGAACAAAACGGTGGTCCCTAACCCAAGGGCAGTGTCTGTATTCAATTTAACCCTATTGGGCAACCATGGCTGTTTTCAATCTGTTGCTCTTCTATTCACATTGTGTTTTCTCAGCCATTGTAAAAAGGCATATGAATGATTCAAAGAGATATAATGAATGTAAAGATCTTTTGTAGGTACTGATTAAAGTTGAAAGGTTTTATAACAATCACCAGATATATTTATTTTGCACATAAAAAAATACTAGCTTACCTTGACAAGAAATTCAAAGATCTAAACAAGTAATTCCATTCTATGTCGAATGAACTCTCTGGAGAATATTATGAGACGGTTGGATAGAGCCAACAAGGAGGGGTATATACTGTGATCTTTAAAAAATCTCACACTGCTTTATTATTTTAACATCCCGCTCCAAAATGAAATCTTTAGATATAAAAAGAAAAACACTACAAGCACCAGAAAATTCATGACAAAGAGGCTAATGTTACGGGAGTTAACTGTGGTTCCATTTTACAATTTCACACTATCAAAATTTCTACCTAAGCTAAGACTGTTCGAGTGGGATATCCTTTAATGTAAAATGCACGTGATTGAACTTGGTTCTTTGTTGATAGCACCTAACAACATAAAATTAAATACAGCAATAACGACATTTCTAGCTTGAGAAAAAGGTTTAGAATACTTTTTGCACAAGCAAAAAAGAACTTTGTTGAGCATGGATATCAAGGAGCGTACTGGTGAGATAATACAACTGCGGTATGGTACTGCAAAACAAATATTCGAAAATGATGTCACCTTGGAGGAACAATTGACGTCCTTTTGAACGTGTGTAAGCAGACACAAAAGCAGTTTTATAAAATCAAGAGGACATTAGAAATTGAAATCTAGAAGGGCTAAGAAAACGCACAAGAGAGTATGCCGAAGACGGCTATATGTATTTGGAGACATGCAAGACAAAGTATCGACGTACATCTTTACCTGAACTTCCAGATCTGCCAGAAGAAGCAAAAAGAGATCAGCCGTCTAAAAGTGAATACAATGAAGATCTCTTGCCGGCTTCAGATCAGCCAAACGCAAAATTACCTGATTTTGCTTTTGTTTAAACATGATATATTTATTGATGGTCCAAATGAGCGCAAAAATAAAATAATATAGTAAACGTCCGTCCAGACCCGTTCAATCCGTTTGGAAGCGAATGGTAGCGAAAAAACCTCCTATGAGTACAAGGGTAAAAAATGTAAAAGGAAATTAATGGGTAAGGTTTTCGATGAAAAGCTAAAGGAATTGATTTAACCATACAAGAAGCTTTTGACCATAGGGATGCCTAGTAGAGATCAATTTGTTATGGTATAGCTGATCTAATTCATGTAGTAAGGAACATATAATCGGCCATCGCTGAGACCAGATAAGAGTTAGGTTTGGGGGAACCGAGGGGCATAAAGGAAGCATATTCAGAAGGAATGACAATGGATCTCGTATTGTTTCAGGCATGAACAGACGTCGATGCATATCAAGGCAACTAATAGCGTGATTCTTAGATAGCTGCTGCGTTGGGTGCTTAGGACATGGTCGAGGTTTGCCACCAGGAAGCCAGCCTAATCTCCAGCGTATACAGCGACTGCGCTCTGAGTTGGACATGGGCAACCAGAGTATAGGATCCAGAGAGGTTGATCGACGACAGCTAGAAAGCAATTTGGAGTTTCGGCATCGTTGGTGGATCTCTATATTCTGTTGCAAAAAGCGCTGTTTAGCAGTCTTGAGTGAGCGAGTATCGGGTTCTTCAGTAGTAGACAGCACCGTTTTCCAAAGCGATGTACGAGAGAGAGCGTACCACTAGCTTCCTTTGGTATTGCGGATATAAGGTAACAGACAAGCAAGCAGTGCATCTTCTGGCAAATATAAGGAACGAAAGAAGAACTGTGCCTGTAGTATACTGACTCGTTCCGACATGAGGGGTAGCTTGGACATGTGGAATATAACCTTAGTGGACGCTTTGCCTCGAACACCGTATATTTTCTTGATGCAATTATTCTGGGCTTCCTCTAGAGCGTGAAGTTGAGAGACCATGAAGCGATTGATAGCTAGGTCATATTCAAGCTGAGGTCGAACGATGTGAGCGTAAAGCCTGGTGCAAAGAAGCTTGGAGAAACTGGAAGGATTCAGGTCAACAGATGACAGCATATTCATCGTTGCAAGAGACATTCTTTTTTATTAAAGTGCGACACTTTTTGAAAATTAGGCGTCGTCTTTTTCCAGACTTAAGCGACGCTTCGATTTTTTTAGTGCGACATCATTTTGAGAAAAGGTGTATATCGAGATATTTTCAAAAACAGAAATTAAAGGACTTTTTTGAGATCACGCGACCTCACAACAGGCCTATTGAGCTGCAATCACCCGATCTTTCCCTGCAAGGTCTTTCCATACTTGAATATTTGTCAGCTGATTGTTCTTGAGCGTTTTGGTTAATGGTTCAACTTGATGGCTCCCTCCGATTTCCATCAATACCTTGGGCACATCAGCCGCAAACGCTTGACAATGCTCTTTATATATTTCTATAATTCTTTTATGCACCATTGTGCCTTGATCGTCAGCAACAAGTGCTCTCATATCCTCCCAATCCTTCACATCAGGATCTAAGCCTTCATATTCATCTCGCGTAACATAGGGTGGGTTTGACACAATCATATGAACTTTATCAGATGGTGAATAATCAAATACGTCTCCTTGTTGGAATCGAACAGGATTTTTTAATTTACGCTGATGTACTTTCAAGTTATGATTAGCAAGCTCAATTGCTTCCTCTGATATATCTAATCCAATGATCTCAACAGAGTCCTTGGGTAATCGGCTAGAAAGTGCAAGAGCAATACATCCTGTTCCTGTGCATATATCAAGTATCCTCATCTTTTCTCCTTTTTTAGCCAAATGTGGATAAAGTAACCGAATAGTTTTATCTGTCCATTCTTCTGTTTCCCATCTATTTAAGGTTACTACTTTTTCCTCCTCTCTTTGTTTGTAAATAATGGACAGTACCTAGGAATAAGTACCGGTGGTCTCGTGACAATATCTAGTTCACAAAAGGGCTGAGTCCCTAAGCTAGGTTAGTAAAAAAAGCCAAAGTGCAGATTGTCTATCCTACCAAGAATATACTGTAAAGGTTTATGATCTGATACTCGTTGTTCAATCAAGTCTTCCAAATGCTTTTCTTCTCGAGATGTCAAAGGATTGTTTCTGACGGATATTCTTTTTCCACGACTGTCTTCAATCACTTTTTCTTTTAACCAAAATAAGTGCCTGCTTGCGAGATTGTAATCGCCATCACAGGCTACCAACAGTCGCTGAATCCATCTCGATTGATTCATAAAAAAAAAAAAATGCAGCACAGTAAAACTTAGTCACATCAAAACTTCCCAAACTGAGTCAGATACTTTCAACAGTGTCTCTGTGGAGGGACAGAAGCTAAATGAAGAATTTTATTCAGACAAGATAGAAACTATACTTTAAAAGGCTTTACACCAAAAAGATGTCATTACAACCAGATTTGCCTTTGTCTGAAAACCTTTTGTTCTTTATGCACCGTGTTCGCCTTTAAAATGTATAACGACTCAATTAAGAAAGGGAGATTCTTGGCGCACTCCCTCGCGCACTCCCAGATTTCAAAATAGTGACGTTGCATTCTTACGAGGAATGCTTGACCATTCATTGTTCCTGATTCGGATGTTTAAATTCAAAACTGTTCATGCGCCTTGAGTGTATCATAAAAGAGCAGTATAACAGCTACAACGTCTTTTGAAGCTCGAAGAAGCTGGTGTTTAATTTCACTATAATAAAGGAAAAAACTTGCTACGACTTTAAAGATATGAATGTCGAATTCTCTGAAATATTTGGTGTAGACTCTGAATATGCCAGCATTGCTGAAGCTCGCAACGTTGTTGCGGATTTTGGTAAAAAAAGAGAATTGTTTTTGTTACTGTCCGCTCCAATGCAAAGAAATCCTACCTTGCTTTGGCCTGCAAGCATTTCGGTAAGCATAAACCAGGAAAGAAGGCAGCG